TCTTATGGGCCTATATATGGGCCTAGGCCCATTAAGGTTAGTATAAATAAGTGTGATTAGTGACAAAGAAAGGCACGTTTCCATAATTACTGATTTGAGTTAGCATTGAGATCTTTGACGTCGAGGACTGACTTAAGCATTGGAGTGCCTTTTGCAGGTACCCCATTCTCTCCTTAGGATACATCATGGAAGATGAAGAACCAGCAGGAGTAGCAAAATTACCAAAGTACCCTTGTGCAGGTACATTTTGGCGCCCATTGTGGGGCCCGATTTTGAAGGCCCGCATTGTTTATTTCTTTTGCAGGAAGAAAAGTTTATAGAAAATGGTCACTACCAGGAAGAACACCACTCTGTTCAACCCGAACAGGACTCAGGGCCATTGCTATGGAAGATCAAACTGATCTCTCAAATGTTGTGAATATGCTTCGTGAAGAAATAGCAATTGTCAAGCAAGCTCGAGAAAAAAGAGCTTGAAGCACTCAGAAGAGAGAATGCTGAGTTAAGAAGCTTGAACAGAACTTGGAACCCTACTGAACATCCCAATAATGAGGCCTCCTCATATCATGTACCGACAACTCCATGAACACACGTTCCTCCCATGCAGTTGTCAACCATTCCTAGGCAACCTTCCCCTCAGATAGTGACAACACCCTGCTCATACAAGCACCCTTTCACTCAAAGCATTATGGAGACAACCATATCTGATAGTTGGAGAAATCTTCCTTTAGAGAAGTACGATGGATCCTCGGACCCCAAATTTGAATGCATACCTCACACAGGTTACCTTGCTGACAACAAAAGATGCTGCCTTGTGTCACCTCTTCCCCACTTCACTAAAAGGAAGAGCATCGAGTTGGTTCATCAAGCTTTCCCCCAGCTCTATAAATTTGTTTGAAGAATTGGAATCTTTCTTTACGGTGCAATTTGCTACAAGCAAACCTTACCAACTAACATCATTAGTGTTGGCCAACATCAGACAAGAAAAGAAAGAATCTTTAAGGTCGTTTATGGATCGTTTTAACAAAGTTGCGATGGAAATAAAAAACCTGAACGCAGCTATTGCAATGGATAGGTTGAACACAACATTAAAACCAAGGCCTTTTGTAAATAGTTTATGCAAAAAACCTCCGTTGGATATGAATGACTTGAGGAGAAGAGCTGAAAAATACATGCAAATGGAGGAACTAACTGAATCAAGAAATCAAGCTAGAGCCGAGGCTATGCCAAGCAGAAGAGAAAACGAAAAGGAAAATTACCAAAAGACTAAAAGGCAAGATACCAGAAGAAACTAATGGATAGAAGTAGAACCACTAGCAACCATATCGGCATCAAACATCCAAAAGTTCACATGGAAAAATATCAAAACACGATTCGGAATACCTTACGCTATAATCATTGATAATGGGCTTCAGTTTACTAATAAAAAATTCAACGAATTCCTAATGAACTTACACATCAAGCACAAAACCACCTTGGTAGAACACCCCAGTCAAATGGACAAGCAGAATCGGCTAACAAAGTCATATTGTCATAATTGAAAAAAAAAAGTGGAATTGACAAAAGGAGCATGGGTCGAACAACTACCTGAAATTCTATAGGCATATAGATGTACTCCGCAATCTTCAATGAAAGAAACACCTTTTAGACTCACCTTCATAAATGATGCGATGATTCCGATAGAAATTGGAGAACCCTCGTACAGACGAGTGTATTTTCAAAGGGTTTTTGCTAAGTAAGGTTTTTAATGAGGCACCCCAATGAATAATAATACATGAAATTTTTGCAAGTTCAACGAGCACCCGAACTCAAGACCTCAGCTGAGGACACACTCGTTCCAACGTGAAAAACAACTCAAGACCTCGGTCGAGAACCTACTCGGTCGAGCGTGAAAAATAACTCAAGACCTGGCCGAGAACCTACTCGGTCGAGCGTGAAAAACGACTTAAGGCCTCGGTCGAGGACACACTTGGTCGAGTGTGAAAAATAACTCAAGACCTCAGCCAAGAACCTACTCGTTCGAGCGTGAAAAAATGACTCAAGACCTCGACCGAGAACACACTCGGTCGAGCTTGAAGAACAACTCAAGACCTCGATCGAGAACCTACTCCATCGAACGTGAAAAAATGACTCAAGGCCTTGGTCGAGGACACACTCGGTCGAGCTTGAAAAATAACTCAACACCTCGGCTGAGAACCTACTCGGTCGAGCATGAAAAAATGACTCAAGACCTCAGCTGAGAACCTACTCAATCGAGAGTGAAAAACAACTCAAGGCCTCGACCGAGAACCTACTCGGTTAAGTTTGAAAAACAACTCAAGACCTCGACCGAGAATCTACTCGATTGAGCGTGAAAAACGACTCAAGACCTCGGCCGAGAACCTACTCGGTCGAGGATGAAAAAACCTATACTAGATAAAATTTTCATCAATTCTCTAATACAACCTATGCCAGATAAGGGTATGAGCACCAGGTCAAATATAAGAAAAGGACCGAGGACTCCTCGATATGATTACATCGAAGAGTCCTCGGCAAATTACAATAACCTACTTAACCTGCTTATTACAAATAAGCACTAATGGATCCTCTTATGGGCCTACATATAGGCCTAGGTCCATTAAGGTTAATATAAATAAGTGTGATTAGTGACAAAGAAAGACACGTTTTCATAATTACTGATTTAAGTTAGCATTGAGATCTCTGACGTCGAAGACTGACTTAAGCATTGGAGTACCTTTTGCAGGTATCCCACTCTCGTCTTAGGATAGATCATGGAAGATGAAGTTCCAGCAGGAGAAGCAAAATTACCGAAGTACCCTCATCCAGGTAAATATGAGATAAATTACATCGGTTCTTTACTACACTTTACTACAACCAATGAAGAATAAGGATGTGATTTATTCAACAAATAGTGCTCCAGATTTTCCAAAAATCACAATATGGTTAGAAAAAGTTCAATATGTGCTCCAACCATTCCGACAATCGCAACAAATGGTAGGGAA